TTCAAACCCACCAGCCACTCCTTGGAAGGAAGGTTGGGCAATCCTACTTCTGTAGTGATACTGCCTCAGAAACCCAAGGAGGGGTCACTATGAGTCAGGGTCAACTGGATGGCATATAACAATAACAACAACAATATAAACTCTGGCTGAAAATGGAGAGATAGTCTTTGTCATGCAAATCCTTGCTGCTTCCCAGTGTGGCTTATCACTGTGACTATATATGGCCACTTCTGTTCACTACCCTAAATTGAAGCTGTTTGTGTGCCGCACACAGTAAAGCAGGGCCTGTATCTGATTTACTTTTCATCAGGAGAAAATTGCAGGCACTCATTATATACTGAGTAACAGCAAATTGCATTACAAGAGGTAGAATAGGCCTTGCAAGAGAGAGAAGCATGTTAGATGCTTTTAAACTACTTTCAGGATTATTTTTCTTACTTCTTTTGGAGAAATAAAATAACTTCAGAAGATTTCTTAAATCTCAAAGGATGATTTTATAAAAAATGTTGAGCTTTGATTAAAAACCAAGAATACGATGCTATTGTTTCTGATGTCTCATAAATCAGCCAATGTTTATTTCTTTTGGCTTCTCATTAAGTATTTTGCTGAAACACTGAGGTCAGTGAGCAAGTTTTCACTTTGCATTCATCATACATGTATTTAGCACAAAGTATGATCTAGGCTCTGAATTTGACACTGCAAAAACAAAAAACAAAAAACAAAAAAAAATAGAGATAAGCACAGATCCTATCCTCAAGAAATTCTCATTTATATGAAACTAATTTTGCAAATTAAACCAGGCAAACCTAATTTTGGGGGGGGGGATGTTTGTTCCAAAATACTTGAGTGTTTGCATAACTCTTTAGAATTATTTACTGTTAGAAAAGGTTACTTTTTATGGTGTCATTTTGCTAATTTTATGTGAGCTATCAGTGTTTGATTTTTTTTGTTATTATTATATGAGGTATAATTGATAGATCTTAATTGTAAAAGTGACCAGGTTCTAACTTACACGTATTCTACAAAGTAAACATTTTATGCCTCTCATAGTTCAGGTTACATATGCAGTAAGTCTGTTTTAATATAGTTTACATAGAAGATAGTAAAAAAAAAAAAAAAAAAATTAAAACAAAGCACTTCAATGTCTATAATTTTAATTAACAATGGATTTATTTGATGGGCACCTGTTGGCAGTGATGGCATCTCAAGTATATAGACACAAAAAACCTTGTCATTAGCTATGTACATTTCCATATATTACTGTAAAAGAAAGTAAAAAAAAAAACACATCAGAGTTCCAGTTTTCACAAGGTTTAATTTTTTGAGAGAAAGATTGAAATAAAGTCATTAACTGTCACTTAAACAATCAAATAGATTGCACTGCCTTCTAACTCATCTAGAATAGTGTGAAATATGTTCAGTAATTAAGCAAGAAATGGGTGATTTCCATTTTTATTTTTCAAACTGTGGGCTTTTGTTAATGTTTATAAAGTATTGACTGAGCATTTTAATAGGTATGTTGGAATGAGGCAGAGGGAGATGCCTCATATAGAAAAAGCATTGGGTATTCATATAGGTTTGATTTGATTGTCCCTAGGTACTCTGATTTGGGATAAATCTGGACATTACTTGACTGCTGTAGTATGTATGAATTTATGATGTAAGCATTCCCCAAAGAGATTATCTACTCCTTAAATTTTACTCTTTTTAGTGAACAGGTATTAAATATCTGTTGTGTGTAAAATACAGAGCATTGGTGGTTCAGTGGTAGAATTCTTGCCTGGTCATTTCCCAGCCAGTGTGCCTTGTGCACAGCCACCACTTTTCTCTCAGGCTTTCATGTTGCTATGATGCTAAATGAGTTTCAGTAGAACATCTAGGCTAAGACTAGGAAGAAAAGCCTGGTGATCAACTTCTGAAAATCAGTCACTGAAAATCCTATGGATCACAATGGTCAAATCAGTAACCAATCGTGGGGATGGTGTAGGATCAGGCATTGTTTCATTCTCTTGTGCATGGGTTTTCTGTGACGTGGGGGATGACTTGACAGAGGCTAACAATGTGTGCAAGCTATGTTGATAGCCACTGTGGTTGATGGCAGATTAACTGGGACAGAAATCCTACCCTCCAGATACATTTTCCTGACACTATCTGTCTATCTATCTATCTGTCTGTGTATCTATCTATATACACCACCTATTTCTTACTTAACTATGCCACTAGCCAGTGAAAACCTTATGAATAGCAGTGAAACACTGTCTTATATATTACTGGAAAACTTTATGAATAGCCTGAAAGGTTGTCCAATATAGTTTCAGAAGATGAGCCCCTTAGGTCAGAAGGCACTCAAGATATGACTGGGCAAGAGATGTCTCCTCAGAATAGAGTGGACCTTAATGATGTGGATAGAGTAAAACTTTTGGGACCTCCATTTGCTGATGTGACATGACTCAAAATGAGAAGAAACAGCTGAAAACATCCATTAATAATCAGAGCATGTAATGTACAAAGTATGAATCTGGGAAAATTGGAAATTGTCAAAAATGAAATGGAACACATAAATATCAATATCCTAGGCATTAGTGAGTTGAAATGGACTGGTTTTGGCCATTTTGAATCAGATAACCGTATGATCTACTATGCAAGGAATAAAAAATTGAACAGGAATAGCGTGGCATCCATCGTCTAAAAGAATGTATCAAGATCTATCCTAAAGTACAATGTCATTGATAGGATAATATCCAGATGCCTACAAGGAAGACCAGTTAATACTGCTATTACTTAAGTTTACACACCAACCACCAAAGCCAAAGACAAGGAAACTGAAGATTTTTACCAACTTTTGCAGTCTGAAATTGACCAGACATCCAATCAAGATGTATGGATTATTACTAGTGATCAGAATGCAAAAATTGGAAACATAAGGAATCACTGTTGTTATGTGCCATCAAGTCAGACCTGATTCATAGTGCCCCCCCCCTTCGATTTCTGAGGCAGTATCACTACGGAAATAGATTCCCCAACCTTCCTTCCGAGGAGTGGCTGGTGAGTTTGAACTGCCAGCCTTCTGGTTAGCAGTCAAGGGCCTTAGGCACTACACTATCAGAGCTCCTAAGGAATTTCTAGTGGTTGGAAAATATGGCCTTGATGATAGAAATGACTGGAAATCGCAGGATAGAATTTTGCAAGACCAATGACTTATTCATTGCAAATATCTTTTCTCAACAACATAAATGGCATCTATACATATGGACTTCACCAGATGGAGAACACAGAAATCAGATTGACTACATCTGTGGCAAGAGGTGATGGAGCTGATTGTGGAACAGACTATCAAGTGCTTATATGCAAAACTGTGCAACAGACCATCATTAACAGACCAACTTGCTCATATGCAAGTTCAAATTGAAGCTAAAGACAATTAAAAGAAGTCCACAGGAGCCAAAATATGACCTGGATTATATCCTTCCTGAATTTAGAGACCATCTAAAGAATAGATTTAATGCACTGAACACCAGTGACCAAAAATCAGAGGAATTGTGGAATGATGT